AGGACCAGTTACTTCCTGGAGTCTTTGAAATAGTTGGACACATAATTTAAAACAACAATTTTTATAAAGCTTTTACACTTGGAGTTTTGCATGGATTCAACAAAGAGTTGTAACATATCAGTTAGCTAAAGAGGAGCTCCGAGCTGGATTTTGGACAGAGCCAGGCTAGCTGTTTGTTCTTGTTTCCGGTCTTTATGCTAAGCTAACTAGCTGCTGGCTTCTGCTTCATATTTACTGTGCAGACATGAGAGTGGTATCATACACCATAGCCCAGTGGTTCTCAGACGTTTTCCCTGGCGTAACCACAATCTTTTATCTATTATTAACAAGAACAGGGGAAGTAACTAATAAAAAAAGGATCCATGATCAGTTTTAGTGAAGTTTACTCTCCCTACATATATCATATTCATTCAACTTTGTTTCACTCCATATTTTTCTCCTGGTCATCCACAATCTACCTGCAGTGGCACTATGCCACCCCAGGGGGGCCCGCCTGAAAGTTTGCCTGACGTGCACCTCATGGTGATGCAGACCTCCAGCCTATTTTTGTAAACTAACAACCAGTTCTCTCAGTGGAAATGAAGCTTTTATCGACTTTGATTTCACAGATAATAAAACAAGAAATTGTTAAGACAATAAAGCCCCCACAAAATAGCATTTGAAGTCTTGTGTGGGATTTATCCTGGCTTCATATTAGAAAAGGAACAGTCCGCTAGCTGTTAGGCTAATTTATGCAATGTAAAATGTCATAAGCTAATGCTAATAACAATAGATGTTGTATATGTGGGGAAATGTGTCTAGTCTGAGACAGTTGTTTCGTCAGGTAACCTTATGAGTTAAAATTGAGCAGAATTTTTGTAACATTGCTTTTGGCAAAAATTGCTGTTTTTCCTGGCTTCATATGAGTAGAGAAAAGGTCCGCTAGCCACTAGGCTAATTTAAGCAATGTAAAATGTCACAGGCTAATGCTAATAATCGTTATATTTTTTGGGAAAACTGGTCCAACAAAGGTGACGTGTTTGTCTGTGAACCTTGTGAGTTATTTTGTACTGTTAAATATTGTCATTACCAAGTCATGTTTGATGTGTTTCAGAATCAGAATCAGAGATACTTTATTGATCCTTGGGGGGAAATTGTTGAAGGTGTGGTAGTTGAATCAATCATACTGGAATTTCTCAATTATCTTACAGTATAGTATAGTATAGTATAGTATCTTATCTTAAACATAAATGTACTTTACAGAAACTCAACACAGTGGCATAGAAACCCCATTGCCCACTAGTGGTTTGGAGGTATAACTGCAGAGCAACTCAGACACACCACCAAACAGGTATATATGCTCACAATAGGGTTGACCTCTAGCTCACCTGGTTGAGTGTGCACCCCATAAAGGCTGAGTCCCTTGCAGCGACCTGGCTTCGATTCTGAACTGTGGCCCTTTGCTGCGTGTCATCACCCCCTTCTCTCCCACCTTCACTGTCAGTCTTCAGCTGTCCTCTCAATAAGGGCAAGAAAACACCCAAAAATAATCTTAAAAAAAGCAAATGCTCACAGTGGTTGTAGGCCACTTGCGTAGAGCCTGCGTACAACGATAAATCAGCCTTAACTGGACAAGACAGCCAAATGTCAAACTATTCCTTTAACTCTAACAAGAAAGCTGTGGTTGTTTCCTTAAATGTTCTGATTCATTTTTCTCATTTTTTTCCAGGCTACCCCACCTATAAAGAGAAGGTGAAGCGGCGTCCTGGAGGTCGTCCAGAGGTTATCTACAACTACGTCCAGCGTCCCTTCATCCGCATGTCCTGGGAGAAAGAGGAGGGGAAGAGTCGCCACGTGGACTTCCAATGCGTCAAATCTAAGTCGACCACCAACCTGGCCGCAGCAGCCGCAGACATTCCCCAGGACCAGCTGGTGGTCATGCATCCTCCGGGGCCGCAGGTGGACGAGCTGGACACTCTGCCGCAGCCACCGGGCGTCAGCGACCCCCATCAGCTTGCGCTCGGACAGGGTCCCGAGAGCAACGCGGGCCCTCAGCTTGCGCAAGGCTACGAGGGGCCGAACCAGCAGGCTCAGGATGCTCCGCACAGCCTGGCCCACAGCAACCAGCAGCACGGCAGCAGCTACACTCAGGCCACTTACCACTACGAGCCCGACCCAGACACACCGTCACCCTCTGCATGAGACTGGCTGCACACTTAATCCCTCCCTCCACTGCTGGGCACACACTGACAGCAACAAGTGCTTATATTCACATTGCCACACTGAGACAAAGTCAGAGCTAGGAGATGTTAAACTATTAAATCAAAACAACTTTCACATTGTTCTGTGAGCATTGATCGTAAAACGTGCAGTCCCCTCCTATACATGATGTAGGAAACTAGAAACAGTGACACTGATAAAGAAGCTAAGAAGCACAGACACCTGATTGGCATCGACAGCCAATAAGCACACAGAGTTCCACCTTTCTCACATGAATTCAAAGCACCTCCGGCTACTTGTTGCTTTCAGAGTGAAGGCAGACTTTGTTCCCCTGCTGCCCCACCGTCCTCTTACCTCCTCCTCCTCCTAAGTGGCAAAACACCACTTTGCCTTCTGTTGCACCTCTGCTGCAGCCTTTCTCAGTCCACACAGCATCCGAATGAGCGAGAACCATCCGGCAGCCAAGGATGGATGAAGCACATCAGCAGGCCTCCTTACCCACCTCCGTTCACTCTGAGTTTATTTATCTGACCAAAGGAGAGTTTAGTTGCATTCTGTGAAAAGACAGTACTGTATTTCATTATGAAGCATGTGTGTGTGCGTGCATGTGTGTGTGTTGTGCTGCTGGGATACTGTACCTCACTGGGAAAGGTGGTTTTCAGTGCCTCTTTATAGTCAGTCTTTATTTGGAGGCTTGTTATTAAGTTGGATTTAAAGATCCACTTTTTCCAGCGTATGTGAAGGCCTTGCTGAAAGGGGTTTTTGTTTTACACTCATACAGCAGTTTATAAGGAAATGCTCCACTCCCTTTGTTGATTTGGTTCCTAGTTTATAATGAGTCCATGTTTTCACTTTGTTTTACTCCTGTTTGTGTCCTGGCTGACCTGCTCTGAAAACTCTGCACAGGCTCATCACTACTGCTGTGAGCACACAGGATGTCAAGACAGATGTTCAACACAATGTTTTTCTAATAAATGGTATTCACAACACTCCTCTTGGATGATTCATTTCCTTATTTACGTCTATGTTGAAAGGGAACAAAAGCTGTGGTGTCTATGGAGCACCTAAAGTTATTATCTTCAATTCAATTTTATTTATAAATCCTAATATCACAAATCACAATTTGCCACAGGGCTTTACAGCATACGACATCCCTCTGTCCTTTGGACCCTCGCAGCAGATAAGGAAAAACTTCAGTGGGGGAGAAAAATGGTAGAAACTTCAGGAAGAGCAACTGAGGAGGGATCCCTCTTCCAGGACGGACAGACGTGCAATAGATGTCGTACAGAACAGATCAGCATAATAAATTAACAGTAATCCATATGACACAATGAGACAGAGAGAGAGACAGAGATGCAGGGCAGACAATAATTACATTAGCTAGAATAACATTATTTTATTATAATAGTAACAGTAGTATATTTGTAGTATATATATGTATATATTCATATGTGACAGTATATGTATGTAACAGTGAGGGTCCAAAGGACAGATGGTGCCGGCCTGCACACAGTGTAGACTGTAGGTCAGTGGAATGACTCAGCTTTGAATCACATCATGGATATTCTGCATCCCGCTGGTGCAGCATCACCCACATCACTGCTCCATCATCACATCATGACAGAGAACAATTACCAGGAGTGTTAGGAGCTCCTCTGTACAATACTGTAACTAGATGTAGGAATACACACACAGGCAGCAGAGATTCCTGTGCTTTCACCTTCAACCTCAAGTTCATGTACAATTCATTTTCAGTGTTCTCCAATTAAATTTGAGCAGAATATATTTGTGCAGTAACATAAAGATAATGACATAAAACTCAGTGGTTGTTTAAGTAGGTCATACCAAGATGCAGAACCAAATTTTTAAATTAGGACAAAAGGTTGATTGCAACATGTGAAAGAAACCTCCAACAGCTGGAGATAACCCCATGTTCAAGTTCCACTTCTTTGTTGTGTTTTTTTTTTCTCCTCACAATTATAATATTTTTTTACAGGCCTGAGCTTGATATTATATGTGCAACAATATAAGAGTGAGGCAGTTGTTGGCAATGAGAATCGTCGGCCTCAGGCGCCCCCACCAACAATTCTCATCAAATGCATATTAAAGAAAATCATGCAAAAACAAAATGTGAATCTAAGACATAAAATAGCACGAGCTGAAACAGAGGGCTAAAATATATACGCGAATACAATATTTTTTAAAAGTAACAGAAACCTGTGTAGACACTTTTGCAAATTAATGAACTAAATGTAAATTACAGTAATATCACTCACTGGCCACTTTATTAGATACTCCTGTTGCTTGTTAACTCATATAGCTAATCTGTGAATTACGTTGCAGCAGCTTAGTGCATTAGGTACGCAGACATGGTCAAGATGACCAGCTGAAGTTCAAACCTGAATATTTCCTTCATCAAGATCTCCCTTCATTTTTTTGAGCAGTGTACATATTTTTTGAGCATCAGCGGTGCATACACACACACAGCAGCGCAGAGTGTCATTCACTGACCTCCACTCAGCTGCTTGGTTAATAAAGAGGCTTGTGAAAGCAGCCTTCCTCTCTGTGTGCAGACCTGCCTGCTGCTGGATGGCAACATCACATATAAATACCACTGGGCTGCTCTGATTGGCTCAGAGAACAGATCAGGTGTAACCACAGTCATTAATGAACACACAGAGAAGACCTTCGCTCACTGAAGGAAATATTATGTGCAGCAGCTTTGGCTACGACAGGAAAAGAAGTAAAATCATGGAGGGGAAAAGACAGTTGCATGATGTAATGACAGAGTGATTCCATCATGACAGAAACAAATAATTTTATTTTAAAAATATTTCACTGCTGATACATACAATACACTCAACATACTCATATATATTTGCATAAAGTATACTCTTAACATGATAATATTTAAAGATTTGATACATTATTGTCAGGTGGGGAGGGGTATATTAACAAGGGAAACACTTTATTGTAGTGTGTGTAGCGTAAAAACATTGAAACAGAAAACCACTAGAACAGATACAGAGGGGACCTCGCCAGTTGCTGCCTGATTGGAAGAGGACAGGAGGGGGGCGGAGCCTGAGCTCAGCAGCTATTTCAATGTCAACAGTCCTGTTTCAACCCAACTGTGAGCACCAGTGGAGGGGTTTACACAGACGGCTGCACAGGAACTGCTGCAGCTCTTTGACTTGCACCATTGTGCATCCCCAATCAGATAGAGTCTCATTTTAAAAGGCTGCCAGATGTTCAGCCGCAAATGGTTGTTATCAAACCAGAGATTCAAATCTCTCTGCCCATATGGAAAGAAATTGTTTGCCCAGCTTTTGTTATTATTCTTAACATAGTGGAAATACCTTCATTACAGTATTGAGCACAGGTGGGGCCAAGTCAATATTTTGCAAGTTACAAGTAATGTGTTCACACTGGGCGGCAATAAAACAATTCACGCAAGTCAATTACATGTACAGTCAATGTAAAGACACGATTAGACGTGAATTCCTGCTGGGCGACGCAACGCAAATGATGCGAAATACGCAAATTCAGCAGCACGAATGAAGCGAGTAGCTTGTGTCATATGCTTATTTGCGAGTTGAAATATCTGAACTTCAGCGTCCAGTTCGCACCGCAATAGCCAATCAGCACTGAGATCCTCTGTGGATGTATGACGCTGAGGATGTATCGGCAAGTTCAGTCATCCATTCAGCGATTTCACGCACTTATGGAGCGAGTCAACCAAAAATATTCTGCCGTTCAAACTCGCATGAGTAATGCAACGTGAAAATTCACATCATGTTTGGTGTGAACACAACGTAAGTCTAAAGTCTTTGCACTCAAGTCCCCAGTCAAGTCCTAAGTCAGGACAGGCAAATCCCGAGTCAAGACAGGCAAGTCTATGGTCAAGTCCAAAGTCATAGGCTGCATCCAAACGTCCACCCTCTGGACTTGCGGACTGAGCCCTTGCTGACTTCACTCATATGTACTGTGACGAGTTCATCACATAAAGTCTGCAAGAGCAGAGAGTGCAAGCCGCTGATAGACTGCCCTTGAGACTGTTCATGGAAATGTTCAAGCAGCGACGATTACAATCTTTGTAACTGCTGTCAGATTCTTACTGCTCATCGGTCCCTGCAGATAACAAGACGTGAATCTCATGTATAGGGTTGTTTTGTGAGTGAACAAAATAAATTTCAGTACAAAATATAGAGTGCAGACATTCAGATACAGAGATGGTTGTGAATACGGACCAGACTATGACTAAATAGACTGAGTAGGACTATTAGTTACATCAGAAGATCTCCTTTTGTTGTTTTTCTGACTTTACACTTTACATTTGTAGTTTGTTTGAAGTTCTTGTATCTCATCTGTAATTTCTGACTTGCATGTTTTGCATACTTTTTTTTGTAGTCCACTGGATAGTTTTTGTATGCAAACAAACTTATCTTTGGAATTACTTTTTCCAACTGACGCTCAATATCATAACGTTAGTTCTTCAAGCTTCTCTCCTGCAGCCTGATTGGATGCTGTCCAATTTGTTCCAACAACTCAGATCTGGAGAATTAAGTGTTGACTTGCTGTGACTAACATTAATGTTAATGGATTCAGGAAATGAAGGGACATGAGTTGAATTGTGACACACTTTTTAAATAACATACATTTTAATCTTTGGACTTGGCAAAAGGTATCAAGTTTTTTCAAGTCAAAGGCTAAAGTCCCAGTAAAGTCGGTGTTAAAGTCCAGGTCGAGCTGCGAGTCTTTTTTGATTTTGTAAAGTCAAGTCAAATTTGTGACTTGAGTTCCCACTGTTGGTGCTGAGTGTTGTTACACGATGTCCTGCATTCATCAAAGATGGTTGGTTATTTGGCTTTCAGAAAAACTGATGCTCAGCTCTGTGACTTGAACGTAACACATGAGAACCTAACACAAGATGCACAAACTGGGGATAAACTTATCCATACAATGCAGTGCATATATTCAAAATGCATTGCAAAATGCATACAAATATGTAAAAGCTGGACACTTTACTATGTTAATTAAATCTATTAACAATCTGTTTAAAATGCACTTTCAGTATATTCCAGGACATCTTATGTTTGTTTCCAAATGCATGCACAACCGTTTTCAAGAGCATTTCAGATTTTCTGATTTCTATACAATGGATACATAGAAATATATATAAAATTAATTTTCTTTCCATACAGGCAGGCAAGTTGGACTTTGGAGTCCCCTCTCAGTATGTCCACCTCTTCTTAAACTCTGACAACAATGTTCTGTGAGCAGCAGAGAGCTGGCGAGGTGAAGAGGTTGTGTTGAGGCTATTCATTATCGTGGAGGAAAAACAGACACTGAAATGAAGAATTCCATCTGGACACTCCCGGCTGTCCCTGCTGTCTGTTACCTGTCGCAGGATGTGGTTAGCTTTATCCCTGTTATAAAGTCCTACTCTGTGGGATTTACTGTCGCCTCCGTCTCTAGGACATTTATCTGTTTCTATACTCGCCCCCTGTCTACATTATAGCCCTCTCTGCTCACAAAGTAGTTTGCATTGATAGTTCCATGTAGCCACAGTACATATGTGTGTTATTAAATGCTAAACAGACCAAATTTAAGAGTAACTGCAGGATTTTTTTAAAAAAAATCCACATAATGTAAATCTGTCCGCAGAATTTTACTCCGAGGTATTTTTTCTTCCAACCCCTTTAAAAAAAAATCAGAGGGGGCTGTTCGTTTTCAGTTTATGACTAAACTGAAGCCCAGGTACTGACGGATGTGTCAGGTCCATTTTTAAATATTACGATCACTAAGGCAAAGAAATTATTTCTGTGGGCCTGCGCTGAATCAATCTGGACTCAGACTGACAGTCTTTCTGCATCACAAGTGCTTCATATGGGTATTGGTGTAGAAGGGATGAGTAGGTGGAGACCCTGTGACCCAGACCATCAGGTTTTTCCATTAGCAGGCTCATGCTAATGAGCCTGCTAACGTGTGAGGAGCAGACCTCAGTAAAATGGCAGTGAAGAACGTCTCCTCATCGAGGAGCACTTGAATTGTCTTGGTTTGCGGTTGAATTGCTCTTTTGAGAGAGACGTTGAGTGTGCCGTTACAGCCATGAACACACACCTACACACTCAGCTGCTGCTTCAACCAAATTCTACTCACCTCATTTCTCTGTTAAAGGTGCAGTCAGCGATTCTTATCCAGTACACTTTGTCAAATTCTGTGAATATCTCCTTGCGGTCCACTAGCTGTCTGTTCTGTGTGCACGCTGAAAAAAAAAAATCCAGTGTTCAAATAAAGCCCTGGCTCTGGCCATGGAACACTATGCTGGCTACCCTCTGTCACATCCTCACCCACACACAGAGCAACACCGTGACAGTAACGAAACCTAGATAACAGCGGAGATATTAGTGCAACGTCTTAGGGAGCACTGACAGGAGGGGTGTGTTTGTGTAAGTGTTGAGTTCAAACATTACAATCTCTCCCCAGAATCACTGACTCCACCTTTAAAGTCTTTGTTGTAACAGTAGTCAGAGCTTCACTTCAGCTGTTAACTCTTCTCCTGCTGACTGCTTACTGTTAAAGGTCCAGTGTGTAGGATTAAGTGCCATCTAGTGGTGAGGCTACAAATTACAACCAAGTGAAACTTCATTCATTTGCCAAGTGTGTCAGAGAGATAAAAAGGCCAATCAAAAAATGCAAATGGCCCTATCTAGAGCCAGTGATTGGTTTGTCTGTTCTGGGCTACTGTAGAACATGGTGGTGTAACAAGGCTGACTCTGTAGACAAGGATCCGCTCCATATTTGGATATAAACAGCTCATTATAAGGTAACAAAAACACAATAATTGCCAATCTGCCAATATATCCCTCTAAATCCTACACACTGGATCATTAACACAGCTGCAATGTGCAGTAAAACACATTCTAGAGAACAATGAGAGGTCTTCACAGGTCCAAATGCTTTCTGATGACTGAACTGGGTGCAATTATGTTCAGTGTAACTGTGTTGTGTACGGAGCCGTTGAACTGTGTAAAAAGATTTACATACACACATCTGCATGTGACACATACAAACTGATAATCTGCTGCTGATAATCACTGTCAATATATGTATATATTTTTTTAGGCAGCCAGAGTGTGAGCTGTGCAGTCCATCCATCAATCATTAATAAGTTCTGATCCTTTGTAAACCCTGGACAGAACAGGCTGTGTCCCAATCCCATACTACATGTTAACCACACACAGTATATACTGTGCATTCATTTTACTGCTCTTGTTTTTTAGTATACAAGAAGTCAAGTACACAATTATTAAGACGTTGAAGTTAATTTTCCCGCAACTTCAGGTATTTTCTTTCATTTTCTGAAGTGTTGCTGGAGCTGTTTTACCATCCACCATTACTGGGGATGAGTAAGTACACCACTGTCTATATCTGTATCTGTTTAACTGACTAAATTATCTGTGACTATCTGTACTCAGAATGGGCGGAGTTTAGACTGTAAGTAGGTGGAGGTTGATCTGGACACAGGTGGGACCTAACCGCATATTGTTATTTTAAACCTAAGATTGATATGGGTTGATCAGATCTTGCTGTATTTATTATTAATTAGAACAATATTGAGAGAACAATCTCAGAATTGAGCTTCAACCCAAACAACTGCTTTGAATTTTTCTTGGCTGTGAATAGCTCCTCCAGTTCCTTTGTGCACTGAATTATGGGAGGTTAGTGTGCATCAACAGCACACTCTGAAATCAAGAGGTTTAATATGCTGACTGTTTTAAATGTACATTATCTGACATATTGTCCAATGTGAACACAACACATAGTGAGAAGCCTCTTATAGTTAGTGTGTAGTATGGGACTGGGACACAGCTCGACCCCCCAGGATCAGCGCTGAGCTGTGAGTTGGTTTCAATGTACTGACTGCAGCTGGAACTGCAAGTCAGGTGATGTGATGCACACTGGCCGCAACAGTAAATTCTCTTCCTGCCAGTAATGTGTGCAGGAAAGTCAGTTGACTGAGTCAGATCAGGACTCTGACTCACAGCTCTGTGGGTCGAGAGACATGGAAGTTTAAGCCCATATAACATGTTATATATATAACATCCTTTTGCGGCTGCCAGTGTCTCTACTTGGGCGTGTCTGTGTCGAATCACATTTTAGATCAGGTCTAATGACCCTGGAATATTCAAACAAGGTCTGAATGTCATCACAGTGTGTAAAATTAACTTATGCACATCATGTTAGGTGTTGTGCTGGTTCACTTCCGATGGGGCTCGTAATTTTGGACATATGAAGACCTCTACTAAGCAAGTTCTATGAATCACTGGCTGGAGTATTATTTTTGGACAGCTGTATAATGAATCATCACAACTTACTTCTGACAGAAATACTGCAGGTAGTTTAAGGTGGAGCACTTTGTGTTTAAAACATTACTTTTAAACTCAGGAAAAATCCACCCTACTCTTGTGGGAAAATAGAATTGAATGAGGATGAGCTTCAGAGTAGCTTGTAGAAAAATTTGCTTATGTTGGTGTTAGTTAAGGAAACAGCAGCTACGTGGCTTTATTTTTTGTTTTTGTTTTTTTTTTTTACAAAGGATTTTGTCGTTATTTAAATGAACTGAAATACAGCTGCTTGTGGAATCATGTGGCTTGGGAATAAGGAACCTCTAAGAATATTCCAAGCAAATCTCCAGAGGACGACTGCTGTGTGTTCATCTCCTGTGTTGGAGATCAGCTGGCTAAAACAGCCAGCATCCACATCCTACAAGGAGAATTTACAGTTAGAGATGTTGAAAGAGCTGCGGCGGGAGGCAGAAATCAACACTCCCCACCCAACATCAAACTTCAACCACCGTCTGTGAATGTCTCAGGAGTCCTGTGTTGGTTGGGCGTTGGCTGCTGACCTGGTGAGGACAGGTCCCAGAGCCACTGTTAGACAGAGTTCAGTCCTTCAGTAGATGTGTTAGCACCGCAGTCCTGTAACTGGAGATCCTATTTACTCTGCTGTTGTTAGAGTAATGGTGTCTCACCGTGGCAATGTTTGGGAACGCCTTGTCTGCAGGCAACTAACAATGCAAAAAGAATCATCCTAACAGCAGGATCTTTATAGAAGAATCCCAGCATCACTCGTCCATCTACAGGGAATGATGAATGAAGAAATCGGAGTGAAATCTGAACAGCAGTAAGAGCCATCCAGACTGAAAAAAAAAAATCTACTCGTGAAGTACTTTTAGGAGAAATCTTCAGTATCTACAGCCTGTTCTATTAAACTATAACTTGCTGAGATGGATACTTTTTGCAGTGTAGTTGTGTACAGACGGCAGGAAACATGACAGCCAGAATCCAACCTGACTCAACTCTCTCCATCAGTGGCTCTGGTGCTAACAGGGAGTCTCCCCCTTTCCCTTCCAGCTTCCTCACAAAGGCCAGGGCAGGTCGCTGAAGTCGACGGGTCCACCCAGGCCAGCATCTGCCTCAAGCAGGGACATGATGACCGCCATGGCCGCCTCGTCGTTGCTGGGGCTGCTGGAGCCGGGCTCGTCCATGATATCTATACTCAGGTGGGAGTTGTCACCTGGACAGAGGATGAGTCAGTGTCATGAGTTTAGAAAACACCCAAGTATAAAGTGTGTTTGTTGTGCATGTGTTTGTGTCTGACTCACTCATGATGGACTGGTTGGAGTAGGGGTAGCCTACAGAATCAGGTCCAGGAATAATCCCTGTGCTCGGAAGCTCGGGTGTCCCTCCGTTCTGGATCTATACACATGACACACATACACACACATATCAGTTGTGTAAAGACAGATCACTTTCAACCTGAGCTAACATTGTTTTCATTCTGTCCTCAAATATCTTTGTGTTTGTCCACAGGACAGACACTAAGAGTGTTACCAACCATCCCTTTATAATGTGCATTTTCAATTTGTGCATTAAAACATGAGTAGAAACAGCAAAAATGCAAAAAGATGTCCAATTACTGAAAAAAAAGGGTGCTTGGAGGAGATGGAAATGGTGTACTGATAAGAGGTAAATGCGACTAAGTGGAAGGGAATGAGATTCAGTGAATAAATGATGACAAGCAGTCATGACGTACCATTATTGCATAAACCACTGCAAGCTCTCTTCATAGTCTCTGACGGCTTTTAACAGCTTATGTATGCACACAGGGCTGTTTAGCAGAACTCTTTTAATAGCAGCGCTGTAATATTAGTTATTCAAAATGGTCTATTTCCATTGTCCAGCGTTCTCCCTGTTATTTCATTGCTTTCCTTCGCTTAAGGTCTGACTGGTGCTCTTGTAACTACATCGTCTTGCTGCTCCCTCTTCTTCTACGGTGCCTGGACTGGAGAATTAGCGCCACCTACTGCTTATCTCAATTAACCATCTCCCAGTATTGGCAAAAAGTTGTGGACGGAAAAGCACAGGAATCTGCATTTTCTTTCTTAAGTATCAGCTAGTATTTAATCGTTCAGAGTGTTTAATTGCACCCGGATGAGAATAGTCACACTGCAGCTATTGGGTTATTTACACTCATCTCTATGATGCGATGTTGGGTGGCTGTAGCTCTGGAGGTAAAGTGGGTCGTCCACTAAATGGAAGATCAGCAGTTTGATCCTAGACTCCTCTGGGCCACATGTCAAAGTATCTTTGGGCGAGATACTGAACCCCAAATTGCTGTTTAAAACCGAGTAGCAGGCGGCACATTTTATGGTAGCCTCGGCCAACAGTGTGTGAATTTATGTGTGAATGGGTGAATGAGACAAGTAGTGTGGAATCCTTTCGAGTGGTTTAAACACTAGAAAAGTGTGACACAAGTCCATTTACCATTTATTATGGATCCCACTGCATGCTGTGATTGGCTAGTCAAAGTCAGAGATGGTTGGGATCAGGGCAAAGAGGTCATTGTTAGGGAGAGTAGCCAATCTTGGATATTCTCTGAGATTAATGAGGTTAATTTAAGAGAAAAAAATCACCAATGAACTGCCAGAAAGTCAGGTGATGTAGTATAAAGAGCAACAGAGTCCACAGAGGGAGTAAGATGTGGAGACTGATGTTTGAGTCCTGTGTGAGTCCATGTTGGCTTATTAATTTTAGACTTAGTCAACTTATTATCTTCAGATTTTAGGATGTATAAAGCTGCTGAATGCACACTGTGTGCACAAACTTCAACACAATAGCTGAACTGACCCTTGCTAACCTCATATTTCGATGTAGTAAGGATACTCAGTGTCTTTTTTTAATTTTTCCCAGTGAGAAGCAAGCCTAGAGAAAAAGCACTGTGCCCAGAGCATGACATTTCATATGTGCTGCTAAAGCACAATTACAATTAGGGAAAGTGAATTCAATTAACTGCAATGGAATATAACAGGTAAACTCATTAAGTGAAGTAGCAAATAAAAAGGCAGAGTGTGAGCTGTGAGGAGATAAACTCCAGTTGATATGTGTTGTTGTGTTGGTTGTCTCTTAGGCTGTGACATACACTGACATATCTTGCTGCATCTATGGCGCTGACACTATTTTCTCCAGGTAGATGCTGCATTTTAGTCTGGCCAAAAAGTGAATCAAAATCTTGGAGTTACATTTAATCTTTGTGAAGAACTTTGTTCTGATGTGTTCATATGTGCTACATCATAGCAGGAAATGTTGCTCTGTCTCCACCTGACTCAAAGTGAGAAAAGCCTGTTTGTGGGAGCAGATCGGCTGGGGGACACTGGATATTGCTCGTTAGTATTGTGCTTTCATCACCGTACCATTAGAAGCTCGTTGTTAACTGTGTGATCAAGAGCCCTGCCACTGCTTCTTTGCTGAAGAAAAATGCATTTCTCCACCATTTTAGTTGAGCAACTCTTGTACTTATTTTACTTCTACTGTTACTTTATTGGGCCCTGGTTTTGGCTTTTTGCTTCTTAAACACTTAATATTGTGTATATTTTGAACATTGTTATACTTGTACTTAATACTCTATTGTTTTAAAAACTGGGTCCAGTGTGTGAGTCTGACCCAAGGAACCCTCTGGTCGTTACTGGTTTGTGTTACTGTAATATGAAGCATTCTCTGGCACAAGAATTTCTTTCAGGATGAATTAAGTTCTATTGCTGTTGCTATTACTGCTGAACTGAATGTATTCTGCTGCTTTTGTCATTTTCAGCGAACATTAATTAGGCTGCCATGCAACACTGCAGTATTTCTGCCTTCTCAGTCAACAAGAGGGAACAATAACTGTTCACTATTTCAGTTGAGGATTAAAAAAGGATTCACATTCAACAAGGTGGTTTGAAACTGAAGTCAGATTTAATAAAATGCTATCAAACCTCAACCTCATGAAGGAAGCTCTCTGTGTGTGTGTGTGTGTGTGTGTGTGTGTGTGTGTGTGTGTGTGTGCGCTACCTTCTTGCCCCCTGGGGAGCAGGTGTCAGGTGGAGGGGTGCTGGTGATGTTCAGAGGGCTGGAGCCACAGCTGGAGGGGGAGGAGCCTCGAATCCTGACGGATATGACACAGATGGTTTTAATGATTTTGGAAAAGGCTTCACATTTTATAGATTACATTTCCTGAGTGAGTGTTTTTTTTTTTTTTAACTTTATAACAGCTAAAAATATCCCCATCCTAAGACATGTGACCTACATTCAACAATTGTTAACACTTACACTGAAATTTGTCAGCGTTGCCATGACAATAGGTAGAAAGTCTATCCATCAGCGGAGACAATCGGTATAATTTTAGCAGCACAGCAGCTATCTGAGTCAGCGTTAGTCTGGGCGGGAGAGCCTGCAGTGTGAACACACTGTCCTATTTTAAACTGTGAACAACTTCTGATACTCCTTCATTTTACTGTCTTGTGTTTTTCACATTATCTGAAATGATTTAGTACATAAAAAGTGAAATTTTCTCCAAAAGGTTGAGTCCTGCAAACTTTACAAGTTTCCCATTTGCCTAACACGTACAGCAGCTTCTGATATGTGATAAAGCATGGCATAACGTCTCTGTGTGTCACCTCTATCACCATCATCTACTTTAAAAGCTAGACCACAGGGATTTTCCAGTGAAGGACCAACAGACTTTTTCAACTTCACTGCTTTCATCTGCTCTCACCTCTGGATCTCCATCACTTCCTCTGCAATCATGCGTCCAATCTTGCCGGCTCCTGCTCTCGTGCCACCGGGGATGCCAGGAACCGTCTGCAGCGCCCGCCTTCCTCCACCTACCAATCAACAGCAATCAGGAGAAGGAGATTTGATTCACTGTGAAGAATAAATGATTCATTGGGGAGGACAGTGGTGGTAAATCAGCCAAACATGAAGGAGTTTTGTGCATTTGTTAAAAGCTGTATTTTACCCTCTGAGGTGAGAACACTGTCCATACTCTGTGGTGAGGCAGCAGATTGAGGGTAGTCTGATCCCTCCATCATAGGACACCTGGCGAGAGGAAAACATACATGTGGAAATGTGTACTTTATGTGATGTACTTCTATAGTTTCACAGATGAGTGCTCCTGTCTACTTACGACACAACAGTGTTAGTGGAGACGATGTACTCCACCTCCTTGGTCCAGGGGTTCATGAAGCTGAACCATCGGCTCCTCAGCGTGATGAAGGAGCCGTCTTTGATCTTGAATTTGTAACAGTTGGTGTTAATCTTCTCTCTCATCTGAAGCACTGTGGACAAAAGTAAACACATACACATACTGAAGACTCATTTGCTTCATTCAGTCACATCACTATAACATCCACTAAGTTATACTTTCTATCTGTATCATCTGTAATGTAATGTGATTTTACGTTGTCATCTTTTAAAGATTTTTTGGGGCTTTTTTGCTTTTATTCGATTGTACAGATAAACAGGAAAGAGGGGACAGAGAGAGGGGACAACTTGTAGCAAAGGGTCACAGAGTGGAATCCAACCGGGGCTGCTGCTAAGGACTCACCCTGCATGGAGAGCACGCTTTACCAGGTGACCAGGGAGCCCATACATTCTTTGCATGATGCTGCTTTAGGCCCTGATCACACAGACACATTGCTAGAAACGCATCACTGGCTAAACCATTGTTTATTTATAGTGCGGCACTCTCTTGCACAGTGTGTCACTTTTTTCTTGTGATTTTTAGATGCGCAGAAAAGTTAAAATATTCTCAACTTTTCAGGACAAGCAGTGGAGTCATATCACTCTGTTTATGTGGTTATTGATGCTGGTATGTGGTAGGAACAGTGGGACAAATGCGATGGAAGACTGATATTGGTGGTATTTAATTACGATTAAGATCACAACATTATTCAAATCTTATCAATCTTATCAATCAGTCACTGGTGAGTATAATATCCTTAACTGTGCTGATAAACAGGCTAGCTAACTACTTAGCTGTTGGACTGTAAGAGGGCTGTGGCGTATCAGAGAAGGAAGGGGGAATCATATCTCATGACAGTTTCATGTAGGCTTCTGTCTTTTTGAAGGCTGATTTATTTTGAAGCAGCCGTGTCTGTAGCAACGCTTCTCAGTGTGATCGGGGCATTACTCCTCATTCATTCATTCTCTCCAGACTCATGTAGGGATGACACCTGACGATGCTTCAAATATGCATGTTTCTGCAAAGAGGCTACAAATTCTATAACATGGATGCTTCATGTACATCTTAACCCTACAGCACAGATTATCTATACAAGCAGCAGTTTCAAGGTGGACACCCAAGATTAGTGCCACCAATTCAGTATCTGACCAAATGTCTCCCCTTCTGTTCCTGAGATATGATGTTGCTTTTGCAGAACATTATGATGTCACACTGAAAGTGACATTTGACCTTTTGGATATAAAATGTCATCACTTCATCATTTTATCCTTTTTGACATTTGTGTTAAATGTTGTCATTATCTGTAAATGAATTCTTGAGTTATGGCCATAAAACAATTTGACCAAAATCCAATCGGTTCATCACTGAGTCCAAGTGGACGTTCATGCCAAAATTGAGTAAATTCCCACAAGGTGCTTCTGAGATGTAGCGTTCACAAGAACGGCACAGATGGATGGACAGACAACCCGAAAACATAATGCCTCTGGCCATGGCTGTCGCAGGTGCAGAGGTAAAAAAAAAAATCTCACGGAAGGTACCTTGTCTGTGGCACTCTGCCAGGTGGCCAATGTCGTCCTGGTGGAAATACTCATAGAAGGAGGTTCCCAGCAGCTCCTGGGGCAGGTAGGCTAGGATGGCTGTGGCTCTGGAGGGACAGACAGACAGACACAGAGAAAGGTTGTATTTACTTACACCTTCTGGTATGTGGCTCCTCACAACTGAGTAAGAAAGCAAAGAAGTGCTCAACATGCTGATCTGCAGCAAAAACTAAAGCAGTTGGCCAGCAAATATATATTAATGTTAGCCGCATTCTCCAATTTTAGGACGTGTTGAAAATCTGACAGATATAGAAAGTATTTAGCAAGGAAAGACTTTGAAACTCCAATGTGTGTCCCCGCACACAATCATGTAAACTTGGTTTTTCATCCATTATCTATCATCTGTAAACTCTTCTTTTTTTTTTTTAAAGATTTTTCAGGCTTTTGCCTTTAATTGACAGGAGAGAGTGAAATGAGGGAGTGAGAGAGAGTGGGTGGTGACATGCAGCAAACGGTTGTTGCAGTGAGGCATCACCTCTGTATATGGGGCGCTGGCACTATCCATGGGGTACACCCCGGACAGGTTGCCTGACTTGTTTTTCCTCAGAGGGAAATTTTAAAGGGACCACCTTCACAGATGGGCACATTGAACTGTAGGTTGTACAGTGTGTTTACTCCTGCGACCACTAGCAACCCTCGTCCCATCATTTTGCTTTTTCATATGTTGGTGGACTAGGGTTGCAGCAGTGTTAAGGTATACTGTGATATTAAAAATTGACAGTTACCATACTGTGTACATTTGCTTGTCTACTATAATGGAAAAAAAAAAACGCAAATGGACGGAGGATTTCGACTTTTAGTTACTTTAAAAAGGGTCTTTTTTTTTTTTTCCTTTCTTTTTTTACAAGCTTCCACTTTAAAAAATGGTTTTCAGTATGCTTGCAGCTTTCAATCTCAACTTTTTCTTTACTTTTTCTACAAACTTTCATTTAAAAATGTTTTCAAGTTTCAATTACAGTAATAAAAAGTTCTGATCAACCAAAAATAACTTTTCTGTTTTCATTCCTTTAAGGCTCATTTTGACTTATAATTAATAACTTAATAATTCTGTAAATACCGTGATACCGTAAAACCGCAATATTTTCAGTTATCGTAGTGTGAAAACCTCATACTGTTACAGACTAATTTGCCTGATCTTAAATGGTCTTTAGACTGCGCTGGAGGCACAGATAACAATGGGCTGAAGAAACCTTCAGTTCCTTAAAAAGTAGTCCCAAAAACTTTGGGTCAAAGCACGGTTCAGAGAAACTTTGGGTAAGTGGGAATGTGATAATGGTAGTGGTATGGTGCAATGTAAAACCAGCATCACATACAATCATGTAATACAGCCAAATGCCAAATGCCACTCTATCCATGTATTTTCAAGAGATCACTGTGGGTCTCTCTCCTGCTTTCTGATATTTTACCCAAAAAGACCAAACATGCTTCAGTATAGAGTGATCCACAACACCACTGTTCACTACACACTCCAAAATGACAGCACAGATACAGATAGATAAATTCCGCTGAATGCTCCCCACCCACTTTTTTTTGTCTCACCTCTGGTCGACGAAGACAAACTTGCCGTCGATTGCGTGTCGGGAGACGTATTCTGTGGGCTTCACCCTGATGTCTGCCAGGCTGGGTTGGGGGACGATGTGGGGGTGCAGGCGGCCGATGGCTACCAGGCAGCTCAGGTTACAGCCCTCGTTGTCTGGCTCGTTGTCCTCATCGAGACCCATCTTGGTGGGTGGCCAGCTCTTTAGGTAGCCTGTGCTGTGGATGGTGCAGAAGCTCTTACGGTCGGCTGTAAGGAGGGGAGGAGACGGGCAGAGAGACGTGTTAGACGGTATTATTGGAACTGGACTGGGACCATCTTAGTGGGATGTCATCCTCATGCTGTGGGGATGATGGGGGATTTTTACAGCTCAGTGAACTGAATACTTTGATTTACGATTATAAAACCAGCACCCAGTGGCTCACCACATTAAAAACTGTTATAAAACAGGATAGAAACACTGTATGTAACATTTTAATGCTGTCTTGAAGAGTATGAATACACTGAAAGATTTCATTTCATAATTATTAAAAAAATTCTTTGCAAACTACACATGCAAAAAAAACCTAAATACTGGCCCACTCACATCTCGTCATCACTCGTCATCTGCTTTGTTATTTAGTTGCTTTATTTTCCAAATCTGCTTCAACATAGTCCTATTGTATGTTAAGATTCATTACCATCTCATTCACACACAGTTTATGTCAAGATAAACTAATATAAATTAAAATACATCTATAAATACATCTATAATTATTATTTTAGACTACTGGTAGAAACATTGTTTAATGCATTTTGACATTTGAGGAATTCTTCTTAAATTCCGTTAATTTTAAAAATAAAAAACCTAAACAAGAAAATCCTGATCCATGCATTATTACACAACAACGCTTAGTTTCTATTTTAAAACTGTACTGCCAAGTGACATTATTCACTGGAGGAAAATTTTGACACCAGGCCTCAAGGAAGTGGGCCAGGCTTTAAAGACAATTTTTGCAGTTGCCAAAAGGTGGAATTACATCATCACATGAAGCCCTGTAGCCCAAAGAGACCTTTCCCTTACATGGCAAAAGAGGCATCTATAAACAGTAGATATTTTTTAGAGTGTCACAACCCCCGGAAAAGGACTTGTTTCACTCTCAGAATTTGATCCATTCAGTCAGATAACATTTGGAAAGTCTAGAAGAGCCAAATGGTTGAATCATTTTATCCTAATTCAAATTAGTAGCTAAACCAGAAGTAGCCGGCTCGGCCAGCAGAAGGTTCCTGCGCCTGCTCTATGGGCTACACAGTGCAGAAGCAGTGCCGATCAACCGGGTAATTTTACACATGGCAGTTGAACTTTTTTGGCTTTAAGCGCAACTGAGCAGCTTTTATAGGAATTCTTGCACTTAACGTTCGTACCTGCAGCTAGCTTCAAGTCCATTTACTATTTCTGTTCTATTCTATATCTATTTTACTCATATAACTCAAGTGATTGCGTATTAAGATCTGTTGTCACGATATTAACCTGAAAAACACTGATACCATTTTCAATGCCGCTGGAAAAAATTCACATTGAGGGCATACCATGTACATTTCTTATTAAAAGATAAATATAACAATGCTATAACACAACAATGACACCTTTTCTTGACCTGGCTAGTAGCAGAGAACAGCAGAATGACTGTTGAAAACATTAACAATAAGAGAAAGCGAGAAAGCACAGCTGGTACTGGTGTATCAATACTGCGGGAAAATAGTATTGAGACTGTTTCAAATATTCAGAATCAATATGTATTGATAAACTGATATTCTTGACAACACTATTGGGATCTTAGTGCTGCCAAAACGTCAGTGACCTATGAGCAGTTCCATCCCAGAACGTATCCTGTGTAGACATAGACAGAGGACTGACATTGCTGCTGACCAGCTGCTTTCACTATGCGGACAGTGTTATTATGATTAACAAGGTACCTGCCTTCAAGTTTTGCCAAAAAACAAAATAAAACAAAACAAAAAAAGAAATAAGAGAATCGCCTCCATAACTCAGTACCCTGTGAGAATGGTTTGTTTGTTGATTTATGTTCTAAAAATTCAACAGTCATCTGAAATGAAAAGCTATTGTATCACCGTGTGCCTCTGAGGAGTTCAGCCAGTTTATAACATGACTGAACTCTATTTTTCTCCCCATTGTGACACACAAAGCACAACATCAGAGGGAGAATAAAGTTTGTCTGTATGAAATATTCAGCTCAACAATAAAAAATTCAACATGAATGGTGACATAACCAATCTAGGTTGCGTGACTACGAATGGCCTGTGAATGTTCTTCTGACGATAAAGATACTTTTAAGTTTATATTCAAGTTCAGTGACTGAGCATGGTGACATGCAGCCTGCCATATGTTTGATATGCTCTCAGGCCACTGCAATACAGATGACACAATGAACAGGACAGAAAGCCCCAGAAAAAAAAATAACAAGATGAAGACTTGTTTGAGTGTCATTAGCAGACAATGGATTCATGTTGATCTGAATAATGTAGGATGTACTGTAGCTGGGTGCACTATGGCTCAAGTACAAAAGCTGTCTGAGGACTTTTTACATAACTGAAGTAGTTCAAACACTATGGAGCTGTATCACTTCAATAGAGGAGAACATTACTTGTTTCCTGTCTTTAATTCAGAATCCCCTGTATATCACTATTTACCAGGACAGTACATAAACGCATTAAAGGGACAGTTCAGATTTTCTTTGAAGTGGGGTTGTATAGGGTACTCATTTATAGAGAGTGTATTACATATAGTAGATGTCAGTCAGCATGCCCCCAGTTTGGAAAAGCAGGCTGGAGTACAAACACAGAAGCTAAGCAATGTAACTGCTGTGGACAGCAGAAAAACATATTTTAGCCACCTAAAAAAAGTCCCACCTAAAAGCAGTTTAAGTGAAAACTATATTGAGAGCATTTTCACCATTTGACCTTGCTGTCACACAACGATTTACAACAGGGAAGCCGTTAACAGCTTCAGATCCACATCTACGCTCTTGTCAAAGCCACCAGACTCCATTGACAAAATCAGTCGTTTTAGCGTACTGAATACGAGAGCTGCTGGTCTCCTGCTGCCTCCATCGGCTAGTTATTCAGTGTTATTGTGTGACTTTGGAAAATCCGAACTAACCCCTTCAATGCTAAAGTCACACAATAATACAAACAAATTTACTTATTGAGATACTAATAGACCGGCACTTCCTGTGTTTAGAGATAGTAAAACACTGTTTTTTCTGAATAGAGTCTGGCTGTCTGACAGTGATAATAACAGCTTCACTTCCCAGTCAAAAATCACTGTCTTATGGTAAAGTGATGAAAATATTCTAAATATAATATACACTTCAACTGATACCGATTTTTTTAAGTAGCTAAAATTTGTTAGGTTGCTGACCCCTTCACAGCAGTACATTGATAAGCTTCCATGGTACTACTCCAGCCTGGTTCTCCAGACTGACACCTACAGTAGGTAATACACCGACTATGGAAAAGTACCCCATACAGCCCCACTTAAAAAATCTGAACTGTCACTTTAAGAGTGAAAACCCGGAGCCCCACTTCAATGTCATCTAGAACTTCAATTTCTAAAATTGCTGCATAGTGTGTCCCCACCCAAAAAGTTATAACTGCATAAATAGTGTTTCTTCTGCATTCATCACTGCTGACCTTGTAGTGTGCAAAGCTGACTCAGACCTTACACCTAACTTGTTTGGTTTGGTTGAAACAATCCCTAGTGTGTGCCTGCTTAGTGAAGTTTATTTTGACTGCTGTGAAAACTGCTTGTTGAGCCCCGATGTGTATTAAAGAACCACTTGAAAAGATGAGCCTCATTTCACTTCCCAGCACTTTCACTCTGGTACTGTTTGTTTGTGGCTTGAAAGCAAAACAGAACAACCTTTGTAGTAGTAAGTGCGAATTTAGGATAAAGTCAAACTACTGCTTACACATTCTTGAAAACTGGGACAAAAACCATACTTTCATGGGTTTTTGATTTTTACTCTTAAATTAGGCTGAGGAAATATATTTTAAAAGATCAAAGCAAATTTATCAATTTAAATGCAGTTGTAGTGAGTAGCCACTTCATTTTTCAAAGTTGCTCAGAGTTCTTTTAATGCTAATCAAAATACTCATTAAAATCATAATTCTTATTTAGTTCTGATTTATATGGGCTATGGAGTTGACATGTTAGGGTTGAGACACACCCAATAGCAATATTATTTCAAGGATTAATAAAAAAAATAGAAATTGTATCAGCACTTGAGCAGCATTCCTGCCTTTTTGAAAATCAGGAAGTGAGACAGGAGGATAAAGCTAACTCCTTTTATACTTGATTAATTGATGTTTTTGTGGAAATCTGGTGGAGTTGACAAAAATCTGTAAAGGGTCAACATTTTCACAAAAATTAGATTTTAAAAGAAAGATGACTGTGGCAGTACATTTTTACATCGATGTTGTCTGTATGTACTGTTAGTTTTAGATTTTGAAGGCTTTCACACATTTCTTAATTGTTTGAAGTTTTGAATTCTTGTCTGGGCCCAGGCTGTTTAAGCAGATCAAAATATTTTATAAATCATATTTATTTCATACATATAAATCCTTTATAAATAATGTGTTACCACAGAAATAAAATTAGTGTGTTGATAATATGAGTGGGAATCACCAGAGGATCCATGATACAATATTATCACAGTACTTAAGTCACAATACAATATTACTGTGATTTTAAATATGCTGCCATATGCTGAGTATTTTGATAAAATATTATGTCCTTAATGGAAAACCTTGTCAACATCAGTTTTATCTAATAAGATAAAGTTTTAAGTCTGTTCATCTCACTTTAGCCATTGTTTTGCAGCAGCAAAATGTATCTAGTTAGGGCTGCTCCCAACTAAGGATTTTCCTAGTCAACCAATTGTCGTCATTACGGGCCATTAGTCGACTAGTCGCCCACATGTTAACGGTATATTTGATCATTAAATTATATATTTTGGGCAGGACAACACAATGGTTTGCGTTCAAGGTCTAAGACAGAATAGTATCAGTAACACTGTTAACACTGTGCTACATTACAGAGAAATACAAAACCATACTAATGAACCTTCATTAATATCGGCCTGTATTTTATCTACAAGTGCACGTCACACACTGAGCGAGCCGCCTGTTAATGACGCTGTTGGCTAAGCAGTAATGATTGTGCTAAGTGGCTAATGGGCATGTAGCTACTTACATGTTTCAGATGATGCGTCATGTTTGTAGTCAACCAATGATAGGCAAATGTTTGCCTGCAGAGTTTACATATCACTTTGGGTTCATCCTTCACCTTCTCAAAATGATCCCACACTTTGGATTTCCTGCCCGACATGTTATTATGGGCCGTACGCATGTTGCGTCTTTAACAGTCTGGAAAAGTCAAGGTCGGGCTCTGGGCGCTACTCGAGACTTTTTTGTGCCAGCTTTCAAGAGTGCGGCGGCAGGTTGCATCTGAGGTTGCTGTTTATAGGCACTGTTTATAAGTGTGTAGGCCTGTCGTCCATGGGACAGATGTAAAGCTTAGGCAGCCCTGCACTAAAATGATCAACTTTTCCGTATTTATCAGACTGAATATTTACAGAAGAAGGGAAAGATATCTGTCATCTGTGATTGGTTTGTTAAAGTGACTCCTGCCTGACTGCTGAGCATGGCCTCTTCCTGTGTTTGTCCTTTCAAATTAAATTCCCACATGGTCCAGTCATTACAGGTTTTGATTTATTCTGACAAGGCGCAGCTCCTAATAGAGTCCCCCCCTACCTAAAGTTTAATTTGTATTTGTAATATTGACAATTTATATAATAAAAAAATTGATACTTGGTTCTGTGTGAGGATACCATTTTGCCACACAAAAATATTACAATACTCTGCTGTATCGATGTTTTCCCCCATCCCTAGTTAATAGGTTATAACTTTAAATGTTTTTGTCATAGGACATCATTTGTCCCAGTTCTCAATAATGTGTGTACTACTAATCCAACCTCTGATGGTGAACCATCAAGAGAGCAATTTTATATGCAATCTGTACAAGCAATGTAAATATTTATACAAGATTGTTTTGTAACCATGGTGACATGTATATAAGCATCAGCATAAGAGTGTGGGGACTTTCCCTGATTAATCGGAGCATGAAAAGGAGCCCAGTGTGTGTTCTGCTTTCAGCAGTTCCTTATTAAGAACTGCAGTTCAGTGAGCACACATCATCTATCAGCCCCTGAAATACTACATTATACAGCATCTCTTTTTCTACATGTTTGTTATTATTCATAACAAAAGGTCAAATAGAGGTCCCAACTAATAATGCTTATAATCAGTTGTTTCATTGCTCTTTGTGATGAGGCTCAGGAAAAAGAAGCATGGCCTCATGTCAGTCACTGCAATTTGATTTGCCCATATGGGTCCATGTCACACTGATGTACAGCTTACGACAGCTAAAAGGCAATATGGGAGCATATTTTTTCCTTCATCCACACCAAACCGACTGAACTCCAGGTGGATAATCTGCCAGCAATGACTATTCTTACCAATTCTGAGTTCTACTCACATTTTAGCAGAAACACTGAGGGATCATTCGGTGCTATTTTCCATCACTTTGGTCAGTTAAAATCTGGGCAATTTACCTGTTAAAATGTTGAAACATCCCACAGCTAAGCAGCCATCAATTTAACACTTTTCTGCCATAAAAAGTGTTGTTGTGTTGAGCTAAATGATACAATAATAATAATGTTGGGTAAATAAATATATAAATACATGCACTTAAAGAGGCCAACTTCCTTTGTTGTGTAATGGAGATGTTCTAATGCTAACTGAGGTGTGATTCCTGGCTCTAATAAAGATGTGCCTCTAAAAATACAAGAAGAGGAACACCAGGAAAGCAGGGCTTTAGCTTTCATAAGAAGGTAACAAAGACTGAAAAGAAAAAGTGATAAGTATGTGAGGTAACGCTGCAGAGCTGCTTCAAAGGGGCTGCTAGGAGAGGCAGACTTATATCTAGGGCAAGAGGTGAACTGTGGGTGACAGAATTTGAGTTTTAATTCCTGTTGTAAAAGAAAAAACAACATTTTACCTTTTTTCTTAGAGCAGGTGGAGGGAAAGTCTTTATCCTCTACTTTGACAGAGGGCCTGTTACACTTCATCCTGCAGAAAAACGACCGTCTGGCTCCAGAACAGAGTCTAGATGGACCGGGGGTGATGTCTGTCTTCACTGGAAGACCAGCTGCAAATAGACACATACCAACAGTTAACATAACAACACATTTCAAAACTACATTTCACTTGTTCAAACATTACTCTCTGCAGTGTTGGCAGCTGAAACTTCTTTCATGACTTTGATGACAGGCATAAAAATAACATTGGGAAAAAACATGCTTGGGAAATGTTTTATAATAACATCCGCCAGTGTGAAACTCCTGCAGCCCAACTGTTGGCAACTACTCTATTTTCATTGTCTGTATTTCAAGTCCTGAATGACGCCCATTTCAGCCATCTGCATCCATCCATACAGTCTTTGAATTGTTTTACTGTTAAAACATGTATTCAGTTGATTCCAGCCTACCTCTGTAGGGGGGTGCTATGTTTGCACCATTTCCTTGTCTTAGCTTTTTACTTGCCTTTAGTAATGCTTCAAACAGACTTCCATCTCTTCTTTCTAAAATTGTTTTTGCCAAATTACAAAACTGAAACTCTTACATCTGAGAAGTACCACAAGCTGAATCTAGACCAGGTCCATTCAAATGTCAGCCTGTGGGCCACATCCAGCCCAGAAGCAACCTGCGAGTGGCCCAGCATACATAAACCTGATATATGACAAAATATGTAAACTACATGTAGTGTATGGGAGTAGCTAATGAGTGAGCCATCTTGCTTCTTTCTCATCTCTGTTGAGACACGCCGCAAACATCAGAGCGGAGTTGGAGAGAATGACGGGACCCGTAAGGATTAAGAAACACTGCTGGCTCAGCCTTGATGTAACTTTTTCTTTTAAGCTTGCTTTTCATTGTTGGTCTTCTTCTGTTTACTTGTCTTTTCCATGTATGTTGTACGCAGTTTTCTCATTGCTGGTGGTTGTTTCTCTGCTATGTTTGTAAACATCCTCCTGAAGCCCTTTTACTGAGGATATTGAGCTTGACTGAAGCTACATCCAGGCCAATATGTTTTCCTTTTAAGACACTTAACTATTGCTACATTTCTTCCTAGCCTCAACATACTCCAGTGTTATGGAACCGGGTTCCACTTTTGGCAAAGTGTCAAGGCTAAGCATTATAGCTAAGTCTAACTATCTTTTGTGATTTCATCCTGCGTGTGTGGTTGCTCCTTTTCCGCTATGGCTTCCTCCATGAAAGGGTAATGCTCCTGGAATTTCTCTGATATGTCACTGTATTTGCTTTGCAACAACTCCCAATCTGTTTTCCACGGCCTTGACTGCCTTATACTCATGTTTGTTACTTTCAGTTACAGCTCCACCTCATCATCAGTCCAAGCAAAGAAATCTTTGTTCTTACTTTTCGCGGTCTTTGTAGTATATTCAGTAACTAAGCATCAATGGCACACCCAGTGTGTATGAATTGTTGTGCAATATGCAGGCATGTTAGTATAGATGGAGATTATTTCAAAAATGGTGCTAAAACGCTTGTGTGTATGGAGACAGTTTTTGTTATACAATGCACAGTGGTAGTGTGGTAGCAAAGGGACAGCAAATTAGGATGCATGTTCAGGGTGGAGGGAAGAAACATTAGCTGAACACCTGATTCTGCACAACAGATGATGTGTTTGGACTTGCTTACTTTTAGCGTCAATGAGCCTCTCTCGTGGGGCCGTGTCTGAAGAGGACAGCTGCTCTTTGACCTTGGCAATGTCCTTGGGGTGAAGGTAGTCAAACAGGCTCTGACCTATCAGGTCGTTCTGAAATAGCAGAAGACATCATATATATGACTAAGAGACAAAGAGAGAATGAGGGAATGAAGTGAGGAGGGAAAGAGGCAGAAGACATGAAACATTATTGACAAGTAAAACTAAGTAAAAACATCTACTTCCATAAACAACTTCTTTCTTCCTTCTGTAAAGTCAGCGCTGTGATTAATGCCACTTTAATTATTTGATGTGGGAGCTTTTCTGGCAAAGTGCAAGGCCATTCAAATCTTTACTTTAAAACTGAACTGCTGACACTGACAGAATTTCCGTCTGAAGTTAGGAAGTTGCTCTGATCTGCTGCTTGAATTTGATTATTCATGGTGATGAAATTCCACTGATCTGTGAAAATCCTTTTTATCTTCTGCTCTGTAAATACAAGGTCAACACCACTGACTATGACTAACAAAGTACAGGAAAGTACTAATCCTAACCCATACTGTAAGTCCTTCATGGCTAAAATACTTTAACAAGAACTTAAAGGGACAGTTCACCCCAAAATCAATAAGAATATTTTTTTCCCTTACCTTAAGTTCCATTTATTCATCTAGATTGTTTTGGTGTGAGTTACAGAAATCGTGGCCTGTTTACTCAAGACAATCCAAAAACCTCATTGCAAGCAGTGTCATGTCGGTACAACTTTCTTTCTGTCGAACTACACCTGCCAACTGTATCACCACGCAATATTAAGCATGTATCTTCTGCTAGCTCATGTAGCACCACTGACAGCTCGGCCGAGCAGACACCACTAAGATTACAGCTTGTGCTGTCACAATGCATGAGCCTCTTGTCCATGAGTAGATGCACACTTTATTCTGTGCAGTGATGAGGTTGGCAGTTGTAATTTGGTAGACAGAAAATAGTTCCTACATGAAATTGTTTACTACAAGATCTGTGGATTATCTTGAGTACCCGGAACATGATTTCTAAAAAGACACTTTGCTGTTCAGTAGGGGTGTGCCATACCATATCGCTCATGATAATATCGGTATAATTTAAATTCAAATTCATATATAAATTTTGTTTTTCATTTTTAATGACACTAAAATTCATATCATTAAATATTTGGACTTACTGACATGTTGGCGTACTGTTACCCACGGCACCAACAAGCATGTCTGAAAGTGAAATTATTGCTGATTCAGCGGTGGTTACAAAAAGAGGAGCAGCTTCAGTAGTGTGGAATAAACTGTGGCGTCCTGAATGTTTTATGAACAGCCCCGGACTTCTCGGACTCTTCTAGCGACTTACCGCTCAGAGAGAACTCATTCAGTGGCTCCTCTGGCAGCAGCACTGAGTCTCTCCCTCTCCTCTCTCACTGTGCGCACACGGGAGTCATCAAGTGATTTTGTCAAACATTTGGTAATGTAAAGTTACATGGCACTCGTGGCTCAACACAAAAACTGCATATATGTGAATGTGCTACAGTTATGGCGGCATAACAGCCTGTCACACATGTCTGTCAAATGTTTTTTTGGCGCTTTAAGCACCACAAGCTGGGTGCCATCTAGTTCCACTATATTGGAGAGAAGGCAGACATCTCTATGGCTTATATCTCCAACAACTGCAACTCACACCAAAACAATCTAGATTGATTAACAGCACTACAGGTAAGAGGGAAAATATATAGTTTTGATTTTGAGGTGAACTGTCCCTTTAAGATGGCAAAAATTTCAGATCAACACCAGCTTTCTGAGTAAAGTGTAGTAAATAGAAATGAGTCCCTTTTTCTCCAGTGCACAAACCCTGTCCCCATACCTGGCTGTAGTTGAGAATTTTGTAGACTGATTCGGAAACAAAGAGGATCTTTCCACGGTCACAGCCAACCACAAACAGGAAACCATCCGCAGCCTGCATTATCAAACATACAAAACAATGAAATAAATACAAGGAATTCCACAAATATATCTGAAATGACTACAGCCCTGTCTACATGTATACAGATATTTTTGAAAACTGATATTTTCCTCTACATTTTGACCTCCCATCCACACACAAACAGATTTTTAGGTCATTAAACTCCAGTTACAGTTTACCTGACACATAAAATGTAGCATTTGGGAAACAATGACATAATCTCCTCAATTCCTGCATGCCCACTGTTGCTTTGTGGACGAGCATATGCTAGAAATAACGACAATAATGATGGATTAACACTTTGCTTATGCTCTATGAGCACAAGCTGGTCTAATGACTAGTTTATACTTAAACTTAGTATTGCTGCACCACTTCATTGTGAAACAGAAACATATGCTGCATTCAAGTGTTTTTCTCCACCTCAGCGTCTGTGATTAAAACTCCGCCAGAAACGATGGTTTTGGATCAGGTACGGTTGAAACAGCAGATGGTGGGACAATTTCCAGAGTGGGATTGTTGTTGATGCGGAGTGAAGGAAAAGTTTAGTATGTCCAGAGCTTGTCACTTGTATGTTTGAGTTCCTTCCTTCATCCTTATATCAAATGAGAATCAACAATGAAGAGATCTCTGGGCAGTGTTTTCAAAAAGGTAACATTAACCTTCACACTTTACTACCTCTATGACAAGGTGAGACAGCTGAAGGCAGCTAGCACCTGCAAGCATTAGGAGTCATTTTTGTGTTCTAGTGTGGACGGAGATATTTTGAGAAACGAAGTTCGTGTGGGCAGAATTGTTTTTTAAAATGAAGAGAAAGAATATTCATTTTCAGAAATATGAAATTAATAGTAAACCTACTGTAATTAAGTGTTGGATGCCTGATCATTTGTACAGCACTCACCCTTAATATTAAGTGCTTCAATTCATCGTCTGAGAGGAAGGAAGGCTTGTAGTTGGCCTCTGTGTATGGGTTGGCTGCGCCTGCACACAACAATAAACACATCACTTAGACATGGAGGTATTCAGACTGCAGCTGCACATGGAACAGCTCAGTTTGTAGGCCTCCTTTAGTAAAAGTTAGAAGGAGCTGTCTTCAAGACAGCTGCGAACCCAGAATTCTAGCAAAAAATATGCCTTACTAAAAATGTCTTTTGCTGTTGTATATGTGTAGATGGATTGTAGATCAGTACCACGTGAATCATTGATTATTTACTCGATTCAATTAAATCATTGAGCAAATGATCATGTTTCAGGCAATCACAAGCCTGTTTTTGCAGGCATTTTAGCTTACCAACAAACCTGTTCTCTTTTTCTGTAAATCAGTAAAAATGTCACTGATAGAGTCAGAGTTCATCACAGTACCAACCACATCTTACCTAAACCCTCACACACTGAGGTTTAACAAGTTCAGTTTTAACAGTTTAACAAGTTCATCCTAACCTCTGAGTGTCTTCATGTGCTGGACAGCCATGCGCAGAACCGTCAGCTTGTCTAATTTGCGGGACATGGCATTACAGGTGGGTACCAGTGACGCCAGCTCGTCAATGAAGCTGTTCATCTTGTCCCTGCGGCGTTTTTCGATCTGGCTGTGAGCCTCTCTGTGGAGGGAGAAACATCAGACATGAACCGACAGAAATCATTTTGGTTGCATTTCACCCATTGTAGAAAAGACAGAATACTAAAACTGCTCACAGCAGGAATACAAGACAAGGCAAGTTATCCTTCAATGGGCTGCATTCTGGCACTGTGGATTATCCATCAGCTCACAGTCCAATCTAACATGATATCAATCATGGAGCTCAATGCTAACAACACGCTGCTGTCTGAAAAATGAAAGATGAAAAGCCTCAGTATTGAGTCGATCCTTCAGGACTGTCAGAACACATCCAAGGGTCTGTCCAACTTTTCTGTTCTGTCTTTACTAGCTGCTACTAAAGAAAGACCTCTTGCCACGCAAGAGAAAGAGAGCTTGTCATTAGCCACTGGGTATGCTCTTACAGTCCCTTAGTTCCACATAATGCTCGGATCTATACACTTCAATGTATAAAGTTTCTTATTATCAACCTACACAAAGCTCTCTCTGTTCCCAATCACACAGAGGGAAATTTAATTCATGTAAGGGAGACTGGAAAGCAGGGGGAATGAAGGAGAACAGAAAGGAGTGTTTATACCTGGCATTCTTAATCCGGCCCTGTTGATCACTGCAAAGACATATAAAGAAATATTAGAGGCAAAGCAGAAAAAAAGGGAACGTTTCAGAGAGAATAAACTTCAAGGTTTCATTTTATGGGATAAGAGGTATTTTAAAGAGCCAGCAAAGGAAAAAGAGGGAGGGGACGAGGCTCAGCTAACCTCACAGGTTACTCACTCTCAACCTAACCAACGTCATTTACTGATTTAAACAATGTCAAGCTTATGCTCTAAAGCAGTTATGTAAAAGTGTAACAATAGGAATAACACTCCACCCACTATGACACACCCAAAACAAAGACTGAAAGATTTATTGATTTTCCCCATCTGAGCAGAGTAAAGGAAGAATGAAGTTTACAGCGCTGAGAATTCTAGAGTTAGAATTAAGGGTTTCAGTTATCCAGTTTCCCTTTATAAACTAGTCTGTAAACTTTGTATACTAAATTTCTAGGGTTAGTTTGGCCAAATCATCAAAAAAACAGTTACTTTTAGTGATATCTAGGCATGCAGGCAGTCTGCATTATTTGCCCAGGTTTTTAGCTATCCATCTCTGAGATTTCTGCTTCCAAACCAATGCAAAAGAGGTGAAGTGAATGTCACTGTGCATCATGCGAGGACAGGTTAATGCAAGTGTTCCAAGTCAGAGTCAGAAAATCCTCTTGCATAAAATTTGTCTTCAAATTGTTAACTTAATGAATGCCACCTGTTTGTGAGTTAGTCTGTATTCCTGAAAATGAATCACTGTGTTGCTGTGTAGGCTGCATGGTTCTCTCTGTTCGCAGCCAACCATCATTCACAAAAATGAAAACCCTCACAGTGCAGAGCTTGAGGTCCTGCTGTTGGAAATCAGTTGACAAAACCACGTTTAGCAATGTCTCGCTAAAGCAAAGCAGCCCATAACAAAGATGGGCTGCGGTCTAGACGTCATTTCTCACAAAGGAACATGTTCCATTAGAGTTGACGTCAGCAATGTTGGGTGTGACAGAGGATGTTTCCCTGGACAACAGAAGGCATAACGACTCTCAGGCAGCTGAAGGACCTTGGCCTTTCTCCAAAGGTAATGGTAATTTAACCTATATATTTCAATCAAAATTGATTTGACCTTCAACTCATAAGTATTAATTAATAAAGCACACAATTACTCATAATGCTCCTACTATATGCTGCCTTTACTTCATTCTGTTCAAGCTTTTAAATGTTTTTTTTTTAAATTTCCATTACAACAACATGTGGACTAAGCCAAGAGCATCTGATGCTCCATGTCCTATGTACCCCGCTGGTCTCAGATGGCAGTCCTAAATCACAAATAGGACATTTCCAGCAATGGTTTCCAACCTTTTTCCATATAGGACCCCTTTTCTATCATCGCGTAAGACCCCTGACTAAGTGACATATTTTATACCACAATAGCCATAATTAGAATTATAACATTATTACTTTAATTAATGTTGTTATAAGCTACGGTCATCACCGTCTGCATCTCTCTCTGTCTCTGTTTCTGTCTCTCTTTCTGTCTCATTGTGTCATACAGATTACTGTTATTTTATCATGTTGATCTATTCTGTACGACATCTATTGCACGTCTGTCCGTCCTGGAAGAGGGATCCTTCCTCAGCTGCTCTTCCTGAGGTTTCTACCATTTTTTGTCCCGTTAAAGGGTTTTTTTGGGGAGTTTTTCCTTATCCACTGCGAGGGTCCAAAGGACAGAGGGATGTCATATGCTGTAAAGCAGCAGATTTTATGGATATTTCTTATTATAATCAATGCATAACAACAACAGTGAATTTTAAGATTATTTCCTGTCAATATCGCATCAGAGCCCAGTTTTCCTGATATTTTTAGAAACTTAAAAAAAAAAAAAAGAATTCTGTCCAAATCATACCTTTTTTAAGATTTTTCAAGTCATACATAGTTACTAGGTTTCTTTTCATGACAAATCCAGTATTTTCTTCTCTCTGATGCATTGATCTAATAGCTCTCTGGCTGTTCTAACTGCGTACTTTTCTAATGCAGGACGAGGCTGTTAAGCAAAGCGTGAAGGTTCTGTAAATACAGCTTGTGGTCAGGTCGTCAACGTGCCCTTATATTGTTGAAATTCTTTTACCAAGTTTTAAAGTTAATGCCTTGAAATCTAATCTAAACTTAAAAATTACAATTTAATTCAGTTTCCTTCAGAGGAATCAATGAATGCTGAGATAAAGGCTTACTGTGTACTTTTTTTCTAGTTTTCTTCCTACAAATGCATCATATGTGTACAAAAATAACATGAGAATCTGAGTTGGCACCACTGTATTATAAAAGTAACTGTGCCAAAATCCTCAAGCCATGAAAAAAAAACCTGAACTTTATCTGTAAATAAGCAAGCCATACCAATCATGACACTGAACAAAAAAAAAAAGTAAATTAGAACTCATTGTATACAGCAAACAAGTAGATATGTCAACACGATTTTTTCTGCGTTGGTGGCAGACAGACAACTTGAACGCTTCAAGTACAACAGGCCTGGACCACATTTACCATGGTTTCTAAGAGAATATCTAAATTTGGAAAAACCTGTTAAAGTGAAAGTGTGTAAAGTTCTCCGAAATTACTTGTACATGCCACTTATAAACAAATCTGTTTGTACAAGTGGTTCTTCCATGATGCCTGTTACAGTTTCATACAGAAAGAAGAAAGTAGGTCCAATAAAAACTGCTGACAGTGAGGTCTGTGGAAGGGAAAGAGCTGGTGCTGATGAAAAGTTTAAATGTCATTTTCCATTCTCCTTCATTATATTGGTATCGTCAGACATCTCAAGGGATGGATCTTGGACAAACTAACGCAAACTATCTACTTTGATAGATTAACACTAGAGGTAAGTGAAAAAAGATGTTTCAGATGATGATCAGGTAAAACCAACCCTTTAAGCTGGGTTAACCCAATTTAAAAGAGACACTGGAAAATGTCAGCGACACAGAGTAGGATAAAACTACAGTACTGGGATTAAAGCCCCTGCTTCATCACTATGGTGACAATGGCCTCTTACCTTCCCAGTTTATCTTTGTCTGGGTCCATCTCACTAAGAAGGAGAGACAGGAGGTATTAGTTTCAACAGGAACATTCAAATAACCACAGCACTTGAGAAATGTTTCATAAGGGTTCACTGGGTTCAGCAGGTTTGGTTTTCTATTCAATATTTCATGATGCAAAATCAATTGTGGGTCATTGATATTTCAGATCTTGATAAATTAAGCTTTGGTCTACAACTATTAACATGGAGTTTGAACTTACTCAAATGAGAAGCCATCGATTCTGCAAAGAAAAGCAAAATTATTAATCAATTTCTGTTATTCAGGTATTCAGAAATGTGAGTATTAACAATTCATAAAAGGCAACTGAGTGGCAATCTTTAAAGCCCAGTTCAGACCAAAGGTGAGACGAGTTGAAACAGGCAACTACTTGCAATGTGCTGTTCTGCAATGTTCTAAAAACCTGCCAGTTCACACCAATGCAACTGTGTGTCATCTCTAAGCAACAACTCTCTGTTCTTCCATTCTGATTTCCAGCTTTTCAGACTTATTTTGTGGCTGAATATAATTTGTAGCTTCTTAAAATGTGAATGAGGATAGAGAAACTGGCTGCGATACTGGCTACAGTTGCATTTGTAGTAGTGATGAAATGGTGAAAAACATGAGCATCAGATGAACTATATTCATAATAAATATGCCACAATAATATAACCATTTATCAGTCAATGAGAATGTGTGTGCGTGCGTGCGTGCGTGCATGCGTGCGGGGCATAAGCACAAACAGCGAGCAGCAGCAGCTACCCACCATCTGATGCCGGCAATAGAGGGCTCTGCGAACACGCCATCTGCGGTCATTTTGACTTGATCGGCAACTTCACTACAAGCCCATTGGCTGTTGAAACAGGTGACGTGCTTTACGTTCTAAAACAAGCCGCTGCCGATTTGACCAGCTGTGCTGCAGGTGATGCCATCAGCAGGCTTGAGTCAAGCTCAGATGGGCCAGTTCACACCAGTGCAACTTTTCTCTGCAACATTCTAAAACGGTTATATCTCGTCATAAATCATTGGTCTGAACTGGGCTTAACAGCTCACGTATCTTTCTGTCTTTATTCCTTCCTCCCTTCTAATGGTGCTCTTCATTATCCTAACTTATGCTTCCAGCATCCTCTCTCCTCCTTGATCAGGAAATCATTCCCTCTCCATCATTATGGAAGATTTTCCAATCCCCTAAATGCACCTCGAGGAGATGAGGAGCAAGGAGAGAAAAGGCTTCTGGAGGAGTTTATTCAACACCTCAGTCTTTTATCTAGTGGTGTGACATATAAATGTCGCACCACCACATGAGGCACAGAACATCATAAGTAACTGATAAGACTGACACTATGAAACCAAGAAATTCTCATTAGGCAGCTCAGGCTCCTCTGTCCTCACATCTCTTCCTCGCATCTCTCTCTCACATCCTCACTGTGAGAAACTAAGAGGCAAGAAAGAGACTTGGGCAAGGGAGGTGAGGAGACCTGTTAGCATACTGCAAAGTGCCCCTGGGGTTCTACTTTCCTCCTGTCTTTCTCTCCTCCCTGCCTTTTTCCTCTATGCCATTTGTTGCCATGTATAATCTTTTTCCTCACTCTCCTTTCTTTGTTTCATCCTCATTCACTTATTTCCTCCCCTCCTTCCTTATCTCCATTTTTGTCTGTCCCTCTTTGTCTCCTCCCTGCTGTCCTTACTGGTAATCAGTAGTGCTGCCCTTCCTCTTGCGGGTGTAGTCCATGCCAGGCGTGCTGATGGAGCTGGAGATGAGGTCGGTGGAGCTGGGGGACATGAAGTCAGTCATTGTCGACGAGATGTCCATCCTTTGGTCTGCCATCAGGTCATCTGCAGAGCAAAGACAAAAACTTCTATGATTCAGCCTAACCCTTCCTAACTATCTTTTCTCAATGCAGCAGGTAAGAAATGGTGGTCTGTAAAACTCACAGTTGCTTAATTACTTTTAAGAGTGGAAATAAAATACAGGTCTGTGTGATATTGTTAGTAAACATGCTCTCTTTACTTTGGTTTTAACTGTCTCCACAACGTAAGGACTGCAGGCTCGTACATCAACAGATGAGGCTAACTCACAAACACAGAGCAGTACAGACTGTTTCCATAGACATTAATTAAAGCACAAGTCAACAGAAGCAAATGTAAATTACACAGACAGGACAGTCACTCTAGTAATAAGTGCATGTTCAAATATGTAAATAAACCGCCAACTAATAACCAAGGCATGTGAAGGATTAGTCACATTATCTTTATGGACTACAGAACTTGCTAACAGAAATCCCTATAAAAGTGAAAAGGTCCAGATCAAAGTGGATTCCGGGTAAATATCTGCAGTCAGGCGGGTTTCAGTGACGCATATTCCCAAGGAGGGGTCAAGACATGTGCTGCTGTAACAGGGAGTGTCCCTGTTTAAAGGCACAAGATTATGAAGTCACACTCACCACAGATGTTCATCACAGCCTCTGTGTTAAAATCATCTCCTTCCATCCACTCTTGAGCCCTCAACTGTGAACACAAACATCATGTTTGCAATTACGCTTCAGTCCCAGCATCAGAGGAGTCATTCTGAAACTGTGCAAAAACTCTGAAAAATCATGACACAAACACAGTATGAGTTGCCTGGACACAGGCGGAAAACAATGTGGCATCTAGGTCAAATGTAGAGGTAGAATGAACAGGAAGCCACTATTGTCTTAGTAACTGCACATATAGAAACAGTGTGTCACAGTTACTTTCTATGGAGATTTAGGTCATACCATATCAATTACAAGGAGACACAAATCTAAGTAATAGTGACGTGTCAGGTGTGTTCCAATTCCCTCATTTCAACCCAGAAAAAGTATCTGAATTAACTTGAGGTATTTTCTCAGCTGAATCAGACCAAGTTTTATGCAGATTAACTACTTTAAGATATACTATACAGGATTTTCCTGAAAGTCAAGTTTTTCTTCGTTTATATCCATGTCTGTGAAAACATGAATGCTTTATACACATGTCTACACTATCTGCCTAATACACTTTTTTTCAGAATATAGTGATAGTTTCAAACAATATGACTGTTTACTTTTTTGTTTGTTTGTTTGTTTTCATAAAACTTACCAACTGTATCTTTAACTTGTACATGCAAACATAACTAAAGAGATGTGATTGGTGTATTAAAACAATGTATAACAAGTTAATTTAGCAAAATCAATCACTACCCACCGCAAATTTGCTTAAATTGCCTATATATTTCTATTAACCCTGTGGCTACTGCAGCAGATATTGATCTAATGGTGTAATCTCAACAGATGGTTGATTTGACAAATGTTCAAATGTCAGCATAGAGCTCCCAACTTGCAAGTGTTAGCAGATAGTAGCCAGCAGCAAAGATTTACAACAATGAATTTCATGGCTTGTCATACTCGGATATATGGATGTATAAAGGAGATGGAAATGTACTTACAAAGTCCCTAGTGGGCACTGGGCATTACTTTGAAAACTAACTAACTCTGCAGTTCAATCTAGCAGTCACCATGTTATTTCCTTCTCAATCTTCTGTCCCTTGTGAGCAAAAAACTGAGGTGCATTTTCACACACACTGGCAGTTTAGTGATGTTTTTTTTTTTGTTACTCCAGGAGGTAAATGGCCATTATTAGCTTTAAGGAAAGGCTAGCTGTCATTATATGACCCAATAACTTGCAGGATAATCAAGTACCATAAATCTCTGTATTTTCTGTTTATGCATTCAACTCTGGCAGTTCTATTATGAGTCAGACTGATGCATAAGATCAGTAGGAAGCCTTCCTTAGTTCAAATACACCCCACTGAAATATGAGTGGGAAATGCCTGCACACAGAGCAGAGAGCTGTTTCACTTACCTGGATAGGAAACTGTAACAGGCCTCCTGGACGGGCCGGGTATCGTCTGGATCAGTCTGGTCTGCTCCGTTCTGATCTGGTCTCAGTCTGGTTTGATTCAGTCTGACCTAGTTTCATCCGGTTTGATGTGGTCAGTCTGCCCCAATATGTTCTGATCCTTAAGCAGCTGGTGCAAACTGTCTACACCTAGAGAGAGATGATGAGAAAAGTCAGGCAAATGCAAATCTGATTTTCCATAAATCTAAAAATGTCAAATCAATTACCTCATAAATTCTAAACAAGACCACGTATGTACGAAACATCACAAAACTTGATTAAAATTAAGATGTAGACCACAAAAAACAAGAGAAGTCCTCATGTTCACGGCTGCAAACCTGAAAAATGGCAGAACTGAATCTGGGCTAATTGATGATTATTAATGCACAGATAAAAGCTAAAAGATTTTCTCTATTCTCCACTGTATGCAAACCTTAATTTGAATGGTAGCTGCTCTTCGTTATAAACACCTCAGAGGGTACTGACAATTTCCTCATTAGGATGAACTCACCCTGCCATTTATAAATGCTAGAATGTATAGTTTTAAATGACCTCATAATCTTAACTCCAACAGCACCTCAGTTACTGCAGTCATTGCTGACAGCTCAGGTAGTTCTGACAACAGTAACACTAAGGGCCATAATATGGCTGGAATATGGTTTTATGGTTGAAAATGCTGTCTCCAGCTTAGTTTGTTGTTTCCAACTGATTAGTATAAAATAGGGATGCACCAATTCTGAAATTCTGGGCCAATATCTATACTAATATTTAAAATCACAATTTGACTGATAGCCAATATTGATGTTTTTATATCGCTGTTTTTTAAAATGTTGTTGTTATTGTTATTTATTCACCCTTTTGTACCAAGGAAACAAAGAAATCTACTAGTGCTGCACGATTTGGTAAAAATGTGCAATTGTGATTATGGTCAACAATACCGCGATTTGCGATTGCGATTACAATATAATTACAATAAAATGTAATAAATAAATGGTATCATGAGTCTTTTTGCTTCATTGTTTCCCCTACATTATATTAGGGGGGCTCTGACCTGACATAGTTATTGTTATGGACAGACAGTGAGTCAATGACCATCAACAGACTGAGCACAGTCAAACACACTGCTCACACAGCAGCGCAGCACCAACTGTACACACAGCAGAGCGAGCATATGTTGCGTTCAGGCGTTGTCACGTAAATGACAAATTCCAGTGCCACAGCACACAGCAGCATGTCAAGTGGGCCGAACCCGAGCAAAACTGCTCAATTTTTCATTTGTTATGGAGTCCATGATTTCCCTGTGACACTTACAAATGTTTGCTTAACTGTGCTTGGATGTTGTTTTATGAGGCTCTGGCGGCTTTCAGTTGTCTCTTTGTCTTTAACGTTACACGGCTCGGCTTTTTCTCGCATGCATTCTTCCTACGTGCTGATATAGATTGGTCGTGTTGCTGCGGGACATGGCGACTTTAACTTTTACATTTAAACAGCACGTCTTTCTGTTCAACGTTGCCGCACCTGAATCCAAAGTATCGCCATGTAACAGACATTTTTTTTTGCCACCAACTCCACCTGTTCATGGTCGAGCTCATGCTCTTCTTCAGTGTCTGTGTTGGTCACTGCTGCACACTGGCTGTACGCACCAGGATAGCTTGTGGGTGTGATGTCAACAAACTCCACACACTACAGGAGAGGTAGTCACGTTCGCAGGCACACAAGTTAACATTTATTTAGCCTACATTAAATCGCAAATCGCAGCCTTTTATGCGGTTATGTAATCGCACACCCTGACATCGCGATTGCGATTAGATTAATCGTGCAGCACTAAAATCTACACTATGAAACTAACTGAACTGTTATTAAGTAATTCAGCCCTTCATTACACTACTCTGAAAAGCACAAATTCGATCATACAAATTTATGAAACAACCTTTAACATTTAAAAAAAAAATGTCTTTTTAACTGCTTAAAAAGTATTTTTACTATATCGTAACTGCCTCTGTAGTATCTATTTTATGTAAAAACATCAGTAAATTTCTCCTTCAAACAGCTGTATTTATTCAAGTTTCTCACCAAAAACTACATTAACAAGATTACGTGAAAATATCATGAGAAAAATAAATTTTGCCTTCACCAGCTACTAGTTTTTACTGACTAGGACTAGGAAACATCATAACGCAACTCAAGTCAACCTCTGTTAGTTTCGGCCACCAGCTGCTAACAGCTAATGTTAACTAGCTCTCCTCCTGCTGATTTTAACTCGTATTCGTTGTTCATGAAGTACATTATCAGAGAAAAAATAGGGTGTGTCCTCTGACACGTCGATAGTGAGTAAGCTGCATCCTTTTACTGCGAAGACATCCTGGGGAAGACCTCTGTTTGTCACGAACACGTTGTCTATTGTCCCCGTTACGCATGCTGCTACTATCCATCTTGTCACACAACAGTGAGATCACAGAGCCCATTTACCAGACTGTCATTGTATTCTACTTGTACCTGCTCATTAATTTAAGTTTGTGCTCGTTAATATTGAGCACTGTTTTTTAGCCTGCTCAAAATTGATGTGACACAACACAAAAACATTGGCCACTGCCATTGGTAAATCATCTTATTTGCAGAGGTCAGTGGAAGTCAACACGGTGCAAATCAACCGATACCAATATTCAGCTCATACATCGGTGCATTCCTAGTTTTAAATCTTGCAAAACAGCTCTTAAACATATATGTGATGCCTGTAAATACATAATATTATGCTAGAAGACTGAGTCTACAGTTAATGATGTCATAACCCTGTTTGGCTGCTAAGCTTAACTACTTGTTGGTATTTTAAAACAATATATTTTCACTATCACACTTAGAACAGAAAGGATGGGGATGAGGAGTAACTGATGTGTTTGGCCAACCTAATGCTTTCCCAGCTAACACTGTCTGGAGTCACTCGACTGTAAACTTCTCTAAACAATTATTAGTTTCTCCCCCAATTAGAGTTAATGATTGATAACAAAAAAAATGTGGGGCATGAACATTTTTTGACTACTGGAGGAGGGCATGACAGGAAAAGTTTAAGAGCCACTGGCCTAAACTCTGGCAGCATCTAAACCAGCTTTCACACAGTGGGGAAATACTCCACAGTGGATGTGCTACTCTTAAAGGGGGCCTTTAGACACAACCTGTAACCCCACACACTAGTGTAGTTGTTAACTAATGATGTATTCAAGATTATTCAAAAAATTGTCGAATAGTTGCCATGATTTTCGAATAGTGTTTTTGCTTGTGTTGCCCATCCCTAATAGTTAGCCTAATAGCCAGATATGCTGTTGTGTTGTATGTTTGCAGCTTAGAGCAGGTAAACATACTGTTTAATCCAATTCTTACTGTTTAACTCTTGTGTTTTTTGTCTTTAAAAGACTAACAGAAGACACACTTGAATGCTGAATATCGCTCCTACCACAGCCCCACATATACTACCTTACCATGGTGAGAAATTAGAGTTTGACAGCAGCTTTGTCTAATTATGGTTGCAAAACTATGATTGAACTATGATTGGGGTTTGGGAAACAATCAATCAATTAGACAGATGGTCAATTTTGTGGCACTTACACTTCACTATTGTGTCAATTCTGGTGTGAATTTTGGGTTAGTCAAGTAGGAGTCATACTTGCCTTGATTCTAATTTTACATGACAGGTTGTTTGGGGGTATTATTGGGGGTCTGCAGATGACATCTAAAAGTAGTACGAGTAGTACACAATAAGCAGCCATAGTTATCAGGTGCATGCACCAATTTGCTAGTTGGACAAACCAGAGGCAACCTAATCGATTAAAAACAATCTGAAATACAAGTACACAATCTCACATTCTTAAAACTGTCCGACTGAACACTGTTTATTAAGAAAATAAAAGCCAGTCTGTAACTGTGGCTGAATCCTGTAAGAAAGCTTGGAAAAAAAGCGCTTTGGTGGGTCATCTAAATGTTTAATGTACAGTACACACAAATGCAAACCTCAAGAAGCCCTGTTGAAGTGGCAGGCAGCGGAGTTCTAGGTCAGGACAGGCTTGGTGAGCCAAGCTGGGACAAAGCTCTGGGCTAGAGGGGGAAAACCACTATGTCATGATTGAACACTGAAAGGAACTGGTGCTGGAGTGGAAACTGGGTCAGCCAGTCTCTATGGTCTCAAAACCAGCCAGCCTCAATTTCCATCCACCACCTACTTCTACTTCGTCAGTGAGTCAGCAAGCCATTCAGCTTTGTTTCCCTGTTCTACACTTTACACCCACTCAGACAATCAGGAAGCAGCCAGCAAGCCTGTTCATGAACCGAAGAAACATCCGGGCAGCAAACCAGCTGCCCAGTCACCAAAATCACAAATACTTCCACTCTGACCAGTCTTGGAAATAGTTTTGGAAAGGTGAGACAAGATTTTAGTGATATTAGTTTGAATAGCAGAACATATCAACATTTTGGGAATGAGGGAATAATGTTGTGAAATCTAGAGAAGTTCCAATACTATACCAATACCATACTACTAACCCATTTCTGTGTCAAGAAGCCAAATAAAATGAATAAAAATGGAATAACAACTTTTATATCTTACTACACAGATGTGTCTTGGGATGGTCACTTTAAAACGTCACTTTACATTGTGAAGTTTTGAGGGAGTGTGTCATTGGCATGCTGACTGCAGGAATGTCCATATGAGCTGTTGCCTGTGAACTGAATGTTCATTTCACTACCATAAAACATCTCCTATGTCTTTTTTTGGCAGTACACCCAACCACAGACCATGTGTAGCCACACCAGCTCAGGACCTCCACATCCAGCGTCTTAACCTATATATCGTCTGAGAACAGCCACAAACAGCGATGCAACAACTGGTTTGTGCAACCAAAGAAATTCTGCAAAAACTGTCTCAGTTTTCCTCTCCAGATTCTTGACCTGACAGCAGTTTGTTGTCGTAACCAGCTTCAGTGGGCAGCTGCTCACCGTCAGTGGCGTCTGCCCTTTGGATTAGTCTTGTCTTCACAGATGAATCCCGGTTTACACTGTACTGGGAAGATAGCAGACGGCTTGTATGGTGTCATGTGGGTGAGTGGTTTTGTAATGCCAATAGCCATCCACAATTTTGCTACCATTTATCGTGAAACTGGTAA